AAGGCTGTATAGTGGAGTGGACCTGGGGGGAGGGATTGTAAAACAATGAAATAATTTTTCTTTTATTTTTCCAAGAGGGTAGTGTACTAGGGGGGAAGGGCTGGGAGGGGAGAAAAGTGCAACAATGAATGAATAGAAATCCAAAGTCTCTCTAAATTTTCATTGAAATTAATAATAAATTTTAAAAAATCTTAACAAAAGGGAAAAAATAAATCTCAAGAGTACAGACATATATGTATGTTTCATATGGTTAGTGGATATGTGAGCATATCTGTATGTGTAAGAGAACAATATGCAAGTTAAAGTGTGACTCGGTAAGTAAATAACTCTGTAATGATTTTTCAGAGAATGTGTAAGACCTGATGTATTTCTGTTCTTATGTGTCAGTGACTAACATAGTCATGTTGATGTGAGAACACACATATATTTCTGTCCATGAGTGATTGTGGATAAATGTGTAATTATGTATATGATTAAAAAAGGTTATATTTAAAAAAAAAGATATACAGCCTTGGAAACCTGATGGAGGGTTTCCATGAGTTGAAATCACCTTGACAGCAGTGCATTTGTTTCATTTTAAGTGCACTTGAAGCCTCAAACCTTTTCAGCTTTTGAAAACTGCACATTCAGCAAATGAAGTTAATTAATTTAACTGTGATTTGGTTCAATCCTTTCAAAGTGAGGGTAATTTGTGTAGCATTAAAGGGAGAATTCCAGTTTTCGATGGCCCACGGACGGGCTGATCCCAAAAGCAACCCTTTGTTGGTAATAGAGGTAGTGGAGAGCAGATGAAATCCTGTGTTCACATTGCGGCTTAGTGGCCTTTAGGCCTCCACACAAACTTGAGCTCTGATGAGCACAGCACCTGTAGAGTCAGCTAGTCAGCTATAGTGGGTCACTTTGACAAAGAAATGAGACGTTCATGTAAAAAAGACATGGTAGATCCCTAATAAAAGGTATTTTTCTTCTCGTCTAAGTCAGTCCTTCATCACTACACACCTTAGTTTACGGCTGCTGGTTCCAACTGCTCTTTCCTACCCAGTTTTGCTTGTCCTTCTAATTTGGTTTGAAATGAAACTTATACGCCTCCTGCTGAGTGAGAATCGTGAACTGAGGTCCTAGTTCCTACCTGAATAAGATGAAAAGTGCATACGAGGCTTTTGAAGCTCTCCGTATTTTTACCATATCAGTGTCTTTGTATCCTTCTTCTAGAAGATGTTATTCCAGCTTATCCCTACCATCGCTCACTCTTCTACAGACTCACTGCACACTTGGCCTGGATTCCTTCCTTCCCTTATTGCTTAAATCTCTTCTTCAGTCTTTACTGGTTACTCCGACTTGTCATGTTGTTCAGTCTTAGACACTGTATGATATAACTGTTATTTTCTTTGTTAGTTTCTTTTCTCCAAATAGTGTATGACCTTCCTGGGGCTCCCATGGTGCAGTGTAGGGACTTAATGAACACTTGCTGATTGAGAAAAATTGCCTTACTGATGGGTAAGGATTTTTGCTTTGAAGAATTTTAGAAGAAAAAAATTACTCTCTTGTTCTCATAGAAGAGGGCTCTCTAATACAATGTGTGTTTAATATTTTTTTCCTTTAATAAAAATAATGTCATATTTGAAGACTTGGAAAATGAAATAAGGAAAAATTCCACCTTATCCGACAATTCCACCACCTATAGATACAAGTTTTGTAGTCCTATTTGAAGATAAAGATATACTTTTAAATAAATTACACTATTCTTGAGTTACCGTTAAGGGGTTAGTGTGTGCTTGATACTGCTTTCATGTGCATTTTCATGTGTTTTTTTATATATATTTATATATGGGTTTTCAAAAGTAAAAGGAAATGGAATACATTTGAGAATTATGTCATTTTCCTATGTTTTTGTTGTTATGGTTATGTGCCGTCGAGTTGCCTGCGACTCATAGCAACCCTGTATACAGCAGCTCTGAAGCTTGTCCTGTCCTGAGACAGTCTTAAAGACTCTGAAACACCAACCCCCATTGCCCCAGGTACTGTACCAGTCCATCTCATCCGGGATTTTCCTGTCCTGTGCTGTCCATCCACCCTTCTGAGCATGATGTCCTTCTCCAAGGACTGGTCACTCATGGCCATGTGCCCAGAGTGTATGAGACGGAGCTTCAAAATCCTAGCTTCCAGGGAGAAACTTGATTTCACTCTCTCCAAGACAGATCTGTTTCTCTTGGTATGTTCAAGACTCTTCTCCAGCACCACAACTGAAAGGCATCGATTCTTCTTCCATCATCCTTAGTCATTGTCCAGCTCTCTGAGGCAAAGCACGTAATTGCAAAGTCCATGGTCTGAATCAGATGCACCTTGGTCTCTAGACTGACATTGTTGCTTCTTAATACTCTGAAGAGGTCTCTCTTGGCAGATGGTCCCAGTGCAATTTGTCTTCTGTTTCTTGAGTGCTGGTGCCACGATTATTGATTGTGGAGATGAGCAAGCTGTGATTGTTAACAATTCAATCTCTTTTCCATCTCTCATGGTGCTGCTAATTGGCCCAGTGATGAGAATCTTTGTCTTCTTGATGTTGAGCTTCAATCCATTTTGAAGACTACAGTCCTTGACCTTCTGCACTAGCACTTCAGGTTTTCCGTTTCAGCAAACAAGGTTATATCATCTGCATAATGTAGGTTGTTGATGAATCTTCCTTCAGTCCTGATGCCACATTCCTCCTCATAAAGTCCATCCTCCTGAATGATCTGTTCTGTGTATAAATTGAAAAGGTACGGAGACAGAACACATCCCTGACACAGTCCTTTCCTGATTTTGAAACATGCAGTATTTCTTTGCTCTGTTCTGACTACAGCTTCCTGGTCTGAGTACAGGTTTCACATGTGCACAATCAAGTGTTCAGGGATTCCCATTCTTCTAGAGGTTAACCACAATTTCTTGTAATCCATACAGTAAAATGCCTTTTCATAGTCAATGAAGCACAGACATTCTTCTGGTATGACAATTTAAAAAGTACCATTCTACTTAGGTTTTAAAAGCTTTATGGAATATCGTTACTGTAAATGATATGTTGTCGTTATGTGCCATCGAATCACCTGCAACTCATAACAACCCTGTGTACAGCAGCCCTCATCTCTGCTCTATCCTGTGCCAATCTCACTGTCTTTGACACACCTACCCCCATTATCCCAGTCACTGAATCAGTCCATCTCGTAGAGGATCTTCCTCTCCTGCACTGTCCCTCTACCCTCCAGCATGACATCCCTCCCCAAGGACTGGTCCCTCCTTGCAACATGAAGCTTTAGAATCTTTGCCTCCAAGGAGCAGCCTGATTTAACCCTCTCTAGGACGAACCTGTTCATTTTCTTAGCAGTCCATGGAATAGTCAGTACTCTTCTCCTACACCACAGCTCAAAGACACCAATTCATCTATCATCCCTAGTCATTGCCCAGCTCTCTGATGCATAGCAAGTAATTGCAAAGACTGTGTCTTGTATCAGGTGCACCTTGGTCTCCAGACTGACATCATTGTTCTTCAGTACTTTGGAGAGGTCTCTAACAGCAGACTTTCCTATCACAATACGTCTTTTAATTTCCTGGCTGCTGGTACTAAGAGTGTTGATTGTGAAGCCAAGCAAACTAAAGCTGTTAACAATCTCAATCCCTTCACCATCTATCATGCTGCCAGTTGGCCCAGTGGTGAGAGTCTTTGTTTTCTTGATATTGAGCTTCAATCTATATTGAAAACTGCAGTCCTTTACCTTCTACAGCAAGCACTTCAGGTCTTCCTCAATTTCAGCAAGCAGGATTGTGTCATCTGCATAACGCAGGTTGTTGTAAATTATATATTCAAGTTTAAATAATATTCATATGTTGGTGATATGCAGAGCATGTGGTTGTTGTTAGATGATGTTAGTCAAGTATGACCATAATGACCCTTAGTGACCTTGTGAACACAGATCTAAACCCTATGCAATCCTCACACTTCTAATGGACACATTAGAGCCCATTGCAGCAGTCACTGTGTCAGTCCAACTGGTCTTCCTCTCCTTCACTAACCCCCTACCCTACCAAGCATCATATCTCTCTTCAACAAATAGCCCCTTCTACCAACATGCCCAAAGTATGTGAGGTTGAAGCCTCATCATCTTTGCCTTTGAAGAGCACTCTGGCAACACCCTCTCCAAGACATATTTGTTTGTTCTTTTGGCCATCCATAGGATGTTCAGTACTCTTCTCCAACACCATTGTTATTGATTGCCTTCGAGTCAGCCATAGCCACCCTATGAACAGAAGGCCTGAAGCCTTTCTACAACTATCAAAATTTGTCAAAGTTCATAGGGTTTCTGGAGGCATGCTGTTTAGTAAGTGGATGGTACTCCTGCTTCCAACAACCCAACCATAGTGCTAGGAATATGAGGCTGGATTACTCCTCTTCTCAGGAAGTCTGATGCCCAGTGTTTGAAAATACAGTGAGAAAGGGAAAAGTAATTATGCAGTAAGTAGTTACTTGGAGATTGGTGTCATTAGTTTTTACTGATGGAACTCTGAGCACAATACTAATGCCATTACCCTACTTCTTTTGTTTAGATTGGCTCATCTTGGGAGCTACCAGGTATTGCTCATCCCGAAGATCAGGTGACCAGTGACATTAACCATGTCATCCAGGCCTTTTGAAAGTCCACCTCCCTATAGACCTGATGAATTGTAAGTAAAAAATTCTTTAGGTTTTTACTTGTCTTGTTTTTTAGTATCTCTTATGTTTTTTAAAAGTGCAATAGCTGGAACTTTAATCTGTTATGTGCTTTTTATGATATCATAAATAATGACAAACTTTTATCGCTTATGCAAGTCAGTAAACAAAACACCCCAAGAATTCCCTATCATTTACTTACCTGTCCTTATTATCTTACCTTGTTCTACCTCTGAGCTCTGGTGGCCTAGTGGTGAGAAGTTACGTTGTAATCTCAAAGATGTGCGGTTCAAATCCTCTAGCAGCTCGTGGGAAAGGATAGGAAATCTTTTCCTGTGTGATTTTCTGCCTCCAAAAACCTATTAGAGGGTCAACTGTAGGTTGGTTCTGACTCAGGGACACCCAAGCACATACAATCCTAAGGGAGCTCTGGTAGTTTATTCTATAGGAAGTTGCACTGCTAACCCAAAGGTGCCGGTGTCTCAGGCATGTTGAGCCCACTGACTGGCTCCGTAGAAAAAAGCTGGGCAACCCTTCCCTTGTGATTTACAGTCTCTGGAAACTTGCTGAAGAGTCCTCTGTGGGAGTTTTTATACATCCAAATCATTGTTGGAGGAGAGTACTGACTATGCCATCGACAATCAGAACAAAGGAAGTAAAACAGAGTGCTTCTTAGAGCCAAGGGTGGGTGGAACTTCATTTCGCTTACATGGACATATTTTCAGGAGGAATTAGTCCTTGGAGGAGGACATCAGGCTGGGAAAAGTGGAAAAGTGGAGTGTCGGTCAGCAAAAGAGAGGAAGTCTCTCAGGGAGCTGGTATTAGGCAGTGACCACAGTGGGCATGACAGAGAGCATGAGGATGGCCAGGGTCGCGCAGGGCTCAGCACTGTTGTCCACAGGGCCCCTGCTTCAGTCATCTCGATGGCACCTAATAACAACTACCAATCAGACAGTTAACTTTTACTTGTTTTAAAATTTGTATAAATGTATTAGTGTTACATGTATTTTCTGCCTTCTTTTCGCATGAATAAGATTTATCCATGTTATTACTACATGCAGTCATTAATAGTTTAGTTATTTTCTTAATAGCGGTACAGAAATATGTGAACCAAATATATAATTTTATGTTGTGATCACATTAAAGATAAAAGGCTTATTTAGCCAATTGTTTGTTTGTTTTTTTAATTTAGCCATTTGTAATAATGTATTTTATTTAACCCAATAAATAATTTTAACATGTAATTAATTGATAAAATTGTCTAGGAGATAATTAACCATCCTCTTTTTTTTTAAATTTTTTGTTTTTTTTATTTTATTATTTTTGTACGTGTACCGTCAAATCAGATCTGACTGGTACAGGAGGAGACTGCCCCTCCTTCCCCGGCATAGCATCTGGTTAACCATCCTCTTTTAATATTTTGTGTTGCGTGTTGAGTACTGTTGAGTCAGAACCCACCTCTAGATGACCAGAAGCATTTAAACACACAGAAGGAGATTGCCTATCCTCTCATAGAGCAGATGGTGGATCTGGGCCACATATGTTCGCGATTACAGCACAGGTTCTTATCACTAGACCACCAGTCTTTGAAATACAATTTATGTTTTAAATTTTTAGAACATTCCATTTTTGATGTCACATTTCCTACACTTACATGTGATATAACTTGTAGCCATATATTAAATCCTGTAGAACAACAGTAACACCAGGGAGATAACTCAGCACCTAGCATACTCAACCATACATGATTGCAAGGGCAACATTAGTCTAAGGATAAAGTCAAGGTGGGGAAAGGAGAGGATAAAAGGAGAATGGAAATAAAAACCACAGAGAGAGATGAGGAAGAGTGATGTTACAGTATAGGGATTACCATCAGCATTGTGAAAACAAAATATGTATAAATGAGTGATGGTAAACTTGAACTCAAATCATAATAATACTGGATTTCTGAGGCTGTAAATATTTATAGGAGGAGATCACCTACATTTTTCCTGTGGAGACACTGGTGGATTAGAACTACTGACTTTGTTGTTAGCAGCCAGTCATGTTATGTACTATACCACCAGAGCTCCTTATATGTGACTGGTGGCTGTTTAATGGGACAGTGCTGCTCTGTATTTCACTGAAGATCACAATTTATATGCTAATTTTGTAGAAAGCCCTGAGATATCTACCGTTCTTAAATTTGGTATGGCCTTACATTAGTGGGTCTGTCATGAGCAGTCTGTTTATGATTAAATTATTGGAGTATCAAAATAAAGGAAAAGTCAGAATTCAGTTGGTTATCCTAATGAGCCCTGGTTGCATATTTGGTTTACTTTGTAACCTTTAGCATAACTGTAGCTACAACTCACAAAGCTTTTTTGTTTAAATGTCTTACTCCCCTGTTAGAGACTAAGTCTGTAAGGGACTTGGAATGACATTATCTTGTTTGTGTATCTCTTGTACCAAGAGTCCAACTCCAGTAAATAATCAAGTGAATAAGTGAATGCTTTTTTAAATAGTAAAGCTGACAAGAACAGTACATGACTGTGCATGTCTGTTGTCAAATTGATTCTTACCAATAACCCTCCTATCATATAATACAGGGAGCTCTGGTGGCCTCTTGGTAATTGTACCCCAATTCCAAAGGTACACTGTTTGGATCCACCAGATAGACAGTCATTCTGCTCCTGTTTGATTAGCTGCCTCTGAAAAACCTGCAGGAGATTCAGCTGTGAGTCGGTTCCAAGAACAACTATGTAATACAGGGTAGAACTACTCCATAGAGGTTTTCTCGGCCACAGTTCATAAGGAAGCAGATTTCCAGTCTTTTATTCCATGGTGCTGCTACATGGGCTTGACCCAACGTCCTTTTCGGTTAGTAGTCAAACAAAAACTGTTTTTACCAACAAGACCCTATGACCCCAAGTACGGCAGTATGAATGTCATGCTTGAATGACTTCTCTTCAGTCACATAGTCAGAAGGGTTAAAGTCATTCTTTTAAACTACCTGGGTCCTGTCTGCAGAAATTATTTAAGTGGTATCTAGTACTCTGAGTCTCCAGGTAATTCTAATATGCAGCAAATTTTTAAGATTTGCCCTCTGGTGTGCTAGAGAAATGGTTGTCAAAGTGTGACTGAATCAGCATCACCTGGGAAACCTATTCAGCCATGCATGAAGCCAGTAATCTGTGTTTTGACAAACTATCCAAGTGAGTCTGATCCTCACATATCCTTACTATTCTTAATGAGCCAGTGCTAATAATAGTGTCATTAGTCAGTGGTTTAAGTTATCATAAATACTTTATATGTTCTTTTTGTTTAAAGCTACCAAAAATCAGTAACTGGAAATTGCTTTCATGTGCATTTCAGCAAACCGAATCATTATGCACCCAGCAATGACATATATGGTGGAGAGATGCATAATCGCCCAATGCTTTCTCAGCCAGCATATTCCTTCTACCCAGAAGATGAAATTCTTCACTTCTATAAATGGACTTCTCCTCCAGGAGTCATTCGGATTCTGTCTATGCTCATTATCGTGATGTGCATTGCCATATTTGCCTGTGTCGCCTCCACGCTTGCTTGGGACAGAGGCTATGGAAATGGTTTACTGGGCGGTGGCATGAACTACCCTTACGGAAGTGGCTTTGGTGGTTTTGGAAGTAGTTATGGTTACGGTTATGGCTACGGCTATGGAGGAGGCTACACAGATCCAAGAGCAGCCAAGGGCTTCATGCTGGCCATGGCCGCCTTTTCTTTCATTGCGGCATTGGTGATATTTGTTACCAGTGTTATAAGATCTGAAATGTCCAGAACAAGAACATACTACTTGACTGTAATAATAGTGAGTGCCATCCTGGGCGTCATGGTGTTTATTGCCACAATCGTCTACATAATGGGAGTCAATCCAACTGCCCAATCTTCTGGATCTATGTACGGTTCTCAAATCTACGCTCTGTGCAACCAGTTTTATACTCCTGCAGTCTCTGGACTCTACATCGATCAGTATTTGTATCACTACTGTGTGGTGGATCCTCAAGAGGTAAGGATTGTTTACTGTTTTTCCTTTCTGTTTAGGCCAGAGACTCAACTCGGGTTCCAGAAGGATCACTTGTTGATGCTTGAGGAATCTTTTCTGACTAGTTAAATTAAGATGTGGAAGTAGGGCTAAATGTCAGTATTTTCACTATCCTATAATACACAGTTTATGGAAACAATTCATTGTTTCTGATTGTTTACAGAATTATACAGTCATCATACCACCCATTTTTAAAGTGTTTCCTTCAGATTTTGTACTTTTTAGCAATGTCTCCAGTTCCCACATTCCCCTCAGCTCAGCACTAGCCAGACACTTATCTATTGTCCATCTCTCAGCTTGCCTATTTCTAGGCTTTTCATATTAATGCAATTAGACGATTGATAGCCTTTTTCAAATAGTGTTTTCATTTAGCAGAATGTTTTCAAGGTTCATACAGGTGAACCTTGGAACCTTTCAAGGTGTCAGTACTCCATTTGCATAGTGAATAAAAGTCCACTGTATGGGTATACAGCATTTTGTTCATGTGTTGAAGAGTTCATGGGTGTCTGGATTATTTTTACTTTTTGGCTATTTTGAACAGTCTATCTGTGAGCATTCACACACTAGTTTTTGTATGAATGTATGTTTTAGTTTCTCTTGGCTATACAATACACCAATGAGTGGTATTACTGGCTTGTATGGAAAATAGTAATTAATCTTTTGGGAAACAACTAGAATATTTAAAAATATGGCTGTATAACTTTATACTCCTTTTCAGCAGTGTAGAGGATTCTCATTTCCCACATTTTTGTAACATTCTGTTATTATATTTGTGTTTTTTACTATGTTGTTTGTTGTTATGTGCTGTCGAGTCATTTGCGACTCATAGACACCCTATGTACAACAGCCCTAAACCCTGCTCTATTCTGTGCCAGTCGCATTGCCTCTGACACACCTGTCCCGATTACCCCAGTCACTGAATCAATCTACCTCATAGAGGGTCTTCCCCTCCTGCGCTGTCCCTCTACCCTACCAAGCATGATGTCCCTCTCCAGTAGCCACTGGTAAGTATGAAATGGTAACTTTGTTGTGTGAACCACATTGCTTTGTGTATTTCCATAATAGTTAATGGTATTTGTAAAAAGAGCAAGGGCCTCATGGGGGTGGTCATATCTGATCTCGACCCATTCCACAAGGGACTGTCTCCATCAGCAACACAAAACCAATCCCCAGGAGGTCAAACATGTCTCCCATACTCCAGCATCTCTTTGTACTCATTCCAACACCAATCTTACTGCTTTACTGGGTACAAATTACATTGCAATAACTCACAAGCCACACAGAACCGTATTAAGGCAGTCGAAAAACTATAATACAAGTTAGTAGCAGAATACAATTTCTCAGTCAGGACAGCTTCTGGAATGTGCTTACATCCTACAGCCCCATGACTTGAGGCTCTTAGTTCTGCCATTTATGTCTCCTCCTCCTTTCCCCCATTAGTCTTCTAACTTGGACAAAGACTCTTAGTTCTGGTTCCACGAGGGGAGCAGTCCCAAGGTCAACTCTGTCTCTTCTGTGGTTCTGTCCTTTGGTTGTGGCTGCTCTTCTGTGGGTCTGGCTGGCTCAAGAATCTCTGGCCCTGAAGGGCACCCTGCATGCCTTTTTCTTTGCTGGTTGTGAGATCCTCAAATTCTGCTGCAGGTTCTGTTCAGTTCAAGGCAAGACTAGACAATCCCCTTGTGCATCAGCTAGCATGCATAATCCTGCCCATCCGCGTGGAAAATCTGTCAGTGGCTAGGGAAGCCATAAACCCTTAATGCCACAGTATTGTACTTTTTCCATGTATTATTTGGCCATTTTTAGAATCTCCTTGGAAAAGAGTTTAATTTAGAACCTTTGCCCATTTTATAGTTGGGTAATTAGTCGTCTTGTTAAAGAATTGTTGGAGTTCTTAATATACTTTTGAGATAAGCCCTTTATTAGGTAATACAATTAATTGCAAATAGGTTTTATTATTCTGGGCTGTCTTCATTTTATTGATGATGCCCTTTAAAGCATTAAGTTTTAATTTTGGTAAATTCCTGTTTAATTTTTCTTTGTCTCTTGTGCTTTGGTGTCATATATAAATTAGCTTTACCTGAACCAAGGTAACAGAGATTTACTCTCCTGTGTTTTCTTCAGGTTGTTCTATAACTTTAGCCCGTACCGTTTATTTCTGTAAATAATTTAAGAAGTGATTCAACATTCTTTTGCAGGTGGATGTCCTGTTGTCCCAGAATAATTTTTGAAGAACTGTGTTTTCTTTGTTGAATTGTCTATGTGAAATTGTAGAATTTCATTGTACATTATTGATTTATAGGTATCTCCTAATCCCCAGGGCTATCTTGCATTTATTATTTTAGTTTTTTAATTAGTTTTGAAATTAGGACATGTAAGTTCTTCAGTTTGGTTAATAATTTATAAGACTGTATGGACCATTATAAATCTTCATTTCTCTGTGAATTATAGGGTCAGCTTGTCAATTTATTAAAAACTAAGAGTCAGCTGGTATTTTATAGGATTGGTTTCAGTGCATAGACGCGTTTGGGCATTATTTCCATCTTAGCAAAAGTAAGTCTTTTAATCCATAAATACAGGATCTCACCCCCCTCAATTTATTTATGTTTTTATTTTCTTTCAGACATGTTTGTTAATGTTAAAAGTTGTTGTTAGGTGCTATTAGGCTGACTGTGACTTAAAGTATGTTGAGCAACAGATCAAAACCTAGCCCCATGGGAGCTCTGGTGGCCTAGTGGTAAGACGCTGCACTGTAATCCAAGAGGTATGCGGTTCAAATCCACCAGATGCTCTGCTGGAGAAGGAGGGGCATTCTCCTCCTGTACCAGTCAGATCTGATTTGATGGTACATACACACACACACATAAATGAAAAAAAAATTTTTTTAAGTTAAAAACCTAGCCCTGTCCTGCTCCATCTCCACAAGCTGTGCCATGCTCAAGCCCACTGTTGTGGCCACTGTGCCAGTCCATTCGGACGGCCTTCTTTTCTTTTGATCACCCTCTACTTTTTTTTCCCCCAGTCTTTTTTTAAATTTTATTAGTATTAATGAACATTTACAGGGATTTTGGGTTTTCATTCCTTCATTGCTGTACCATTCTCTCTAACCTCTTCCCCAGTTTGTTCTTCTTCCCCTGCCCTCCGAATGTCTGTTTTAATTGTCCAATTGACAGTGCTTGTCAAAGTCAGTTCTGATTAATCTCCTTTGTCAGTGTGTCCTTTGCCATTCCCTATCCCTCCTCCCTGAGAGAGACTTCACCCTGATTCATAAGGAAAAGGGGATGGCGTATTCTCTTATACTTTTTTTTTTTTCCTAAGAGTGCGGTCTTTTGACAAGGACTGGTGCCTCCTGACAACATGCCCAGAGTATGTGAGACAAAGTTTTACTATCAGTACCTATAAAGGAGTACCTGCTGCATTTCATCCAGCACAGATTGATTTATTCTTTGGCAAACAGTGGCATATTCAGTACTTTGTTACCACTACTCAATTCAAAGGTGTTAATTCTTCTTTGGTCTTCTTTAATCATTGTCCACCTTCCAGATACATAGGAAGCAATTTTAATAACTCGCTTGGATCAAGTGTGCCTTAGTCTTGAAACAAATATACCAGCTCCCTAGCACTTTGGAAGAAGTCCATAACAGCAGATTTTCCTAGTGTAACATGTTTTGATTCCTTGACTTCTGGTAACATGGATGTTGATTATAGATCCAAGTAACAGGAAGTTGTTCACCACTTCAGTCTTCTCCATCTATTATGATGTTGCCCATTTGTCCAGTTATGAGACTTTTGGCTTTCTTGATATTGAAGTTTACCTCATAGTGAAGGCTGTCATCTTTGATCTTCATCAATAAATAAGTGCTTTAAGTCTTGATCTCTTTCTACCAGCAAACTTGTATCATCTGCATAGTATAGGTTGTTTATAAGTCTTCTTTCAGTTCTGATGTCACATTCTTTGAGAGTTTTCAGAGTAGATGCCAGTATTTTTAAAACCTACTCATGTGATTCAAATGTACAGGTGAGACTGAAAAATGCTACCATTCATGAGAAACTATGAGTCATCTTAGTTATACTAACAAATCAAACATTTCTGAATTACTAATCTTTCCTTCCGTGTTATTTTTCACCTGAGCATGACTCAGGAATTACCACTATAGTACTGAATTAATCTTACTTTTAGAGTTAAACCTCCTGTAACCATAATCTACCGTTATTTTGAAGTCTAAAATAATTTCCTTGTAAATGTAGATTTTCAGAAATTTGTTGTTACCATTCATATGAACTTGTGATAAGCATGGGTTAAGGTACCCTTCCTCCATCCTCTATTATCTGAAACTACTTTTTGGCAAAGGATGCCACTATCAGAACTGAAAGTTGAACCTTCTGTTACTCATCAGCCTACAACCAGGACAGAAGCTTAGTACCTGACACAACTCGGGTGCTTTTCTAGGCTGATAGACAATTTAATACATATCAGGCGCAGGGGGAATATGTTACAAATAGCATCTTTCCCTGCCAAATTCTTCTAGTAAGAACTCAATTGACCCCTAAAATGAAGAAACTTGCCAGACCACCTGCACCATCATTAGTTCATTTGCTCTAATTTGTTGATCTAGGTCCTCATAATTTATGGTAATGAATATTTTCTATGCAATTAACTTGCAGTATAAAAGGATTGTTATTGTTAGATGCTGTCAAGTCCACTACAAGTCATAGAGACCTTGTGAACAACAGCTCTGAACTTTCCCTATCCCTATGCCACCTTCATGATCCCTGTCATGCTCAGTCTCACTGTGATGGGGTCATTGTGTCAGTCTGTCTTGTTGAGTTTTTATCTCTTTCTCTGACCCTCCACCTTTCCTAGCATGATGTCTTTGTCCAGGGACAGGCCCCTCCTGACAACATGCTCAAAGAAATGAGATAAAGTTTTACCACCCTTCCCTCTAAGGAGCACTCTGGTTGCACTTCTTTCACGACAGACTTTTTATTCTTTTGATAGTCCATGGGATATTCACTACTGTCCTCTGACACCACAAGTCAAGAACATTGATTTTCCTTCTGTCATCTTTAGTTATTATCCAACTTGGAAATACATATGATGTAATTTAAAATACTCTGGCTTGGAACAGGCACACCTTAATCTTTAAACTGACATCTTTGCATATCTTTAAACTTTCTTTGCTTAGTCACGAAAGTACAAGTAAGCATCTTCCTGGTATTCAGTTCATCCAACATTAGTTTGACGTCAGCAGTGTCATTCCTTGTGCCATAGTCTCTTCTGAATCCAGCTTGAATTTCCTGTCAGTGTTCCAGCAATTTTTAAAGTTATCTTCAGCAAAGTTTCACTTGCATGTGATATTAGAAATTAATCATGCTTTTTGATAATTTTCACATTCTGTTGGATCACCTTTTTTTTTGGGAATGGAAACAGATACGGATTTCTTCCAGTTAGTTGTCCAGGTCGCTGCCTTATTCCTTAGAGGTAAAGATTCTGAAGCTCCGTCTGAAATACTTTGGACAAGTTGCAAGGTGGGATCAGTCCTTGGAGAGACGTCGTCCTTGGGAGGATGGAGGGACAACGCAGGAGAGGAAGACCCTCAGTGAGATTGATTGATTCCATCACTGGGGAAATGGAGATAGGCATGTCAGAGACAATAAGATTCGCAAGGGATAGAGCAGGGTTTAGGACTGTTGTACATAAGGTTGCTATGAATTGTAGGCAACTCGACAGCACATAACAACAACAGTAACCAGTCTACTAGACTACTGAACACATCTGTTGCTACATCTGTTTTTAAATACCTCACTTGGTATTCCATCAATTCCCGGGTCCTTATTTTTGCCAGTGCCTTCAGTGCAGCCAGCTTTAACTTCTTCCTTCATTATCCTTGGTTCTTTGTCTATGCTACTTCCCGAAGTGGTTCAGCGTTGACCAATTAGTTTTAATATAATGACTTAGTGTATTCCTTTCATCTTTTGATGCTCCTGCATCATTCATGATTGTACCTGTAGAATCCATCAGTCTTGTAACTCTGGTGTTGAATTTATTTTTAGTTTTCTTTCAGCTTTAAAATACTGAGCACATTCTTCACTTTTGGTTGTGTAACACCAGCTCTTTGTACATTTTGTTAGAATGCTTTGTCATCGTTAGCTGTCCTTTGAAATCTTCTGTTCATCTCTCTTACTAAGTATGTATTCATTTACATCTGTTAATTTCATTTCAATCCGCTGGTGAGAATTTGTATTTCCACCCAAATTGTACTAGATGTTTTAGCAAGGTCACCTGGGGATCTTGTTAAAATATAGATATTTTTTTAACCCAGCCAAGTATCTGTTTATTATCAAACAAAACCATCAATGCAATAAATTTACATGTTTGACTTTCCCCCCCTTCTTTTTAACTAGCATGACAAAGGAACTATTAAAAACAGAATCCTAATGAGGCAATAATTTCATTTTTTAAAAAATTTTATTTTATTAATTTTAATGAACATTTACAGAGATTTTGTATTTTAAAATACTGATTTTTAATTCCATAATATGGGATGGAAAGCAAATTCTCAATAGGAAATCAAGATGGAATGAACAGTTTGAAGCCCTGATATTACATGAACAAGATTACAAGCATGACTATGTATTTAAGGCTACTTCTTAGAAAGCATTTACAAACCCTTTAGAAATATACTAATAATTTGTTTAAGTATTGCCTATTATTTAAAAAATTGTGACTTTTATGTACACAGGCTTCAGAATGTTCTGGTCTGAAATGGGTATGACACGATATCATATCTCTACAAAAATAAAGTAGTACTTGTGTTACATGATTTTTGTAAGTGGTGTAGTCTCTCCATTATTAATTGTCTATGTGCAGTATATGCTTATGTTTATAGGTACTTTATATGCAAAAAGTTGGTAAACCTCACTTTAAGCATATTTTGAGTATTAAGATACGTATTTGCTCAATTCATGTAGGTTATACTTTATGATGATTTCAAAACATAACCATTTGCTTCAGTGGTATGCCAATTAAATGATAGAAATTTAGCAGGGCATTAGATTGTGAAGATTCCATTCATTTGTATAGGATTGACTGGGGGAAAATAAGTAAGGATAATATAATTATATCAGTTTATTTAATTCCTTTTTTAGGCTATTGCAATTGTACTGGGATTCATGGTTCTTGTGGCATTTGCTTTAATAATTTTATTTGCTGTGAAAACACGAAGGAAGATAGACCGTTATGACAAATCGAATATTCTTTGGGACAAGGAACACGTCTATGATGAACAACCCCCTAATGTTGAAGAGTGGGTGAGTGGGGAAAAAAAAAAATCAAAGTTTCAATTTTTATTAAACTTCTGGTTTTCTGTATTTAAGTTGTATATGTATTAATCTTTATAAAGGTTGCTAAAATTGTCTCAAGTTTCAGTCAGAATTTCAAGATGATGAGATAAACACAGATTGTTACAGTGCAAGTTAACAGATTTTTATTCCCAGATTGTGGACCTAGGCACTGAAAAGAAAAAGGAATGACAAAGAAAGAATTTGGCATTTGCAAAATAAATAGAGCTCCTTCCACTACCCCACCTCCTTTTTTGGCAATTACAGATAATGCTTCCATGAATATTTACTTGCAAGCTTTTGTGTGGATGTGTGTTTTCACTTCTGGATATATGCCCAGGAGTGGAATTACTGGGTAATTCTGTGTTGAACCTTTTAAACAACTCTTTTTTCCAGAATGGTTACATAACTTTACATTCCCACCATTAGGGGAAAAACATTGACACCATTGCCCAGGGTGCTGTTGGAGGTCAGGATTTACAAGAGAGCTTTTTTCCAGTGGCTGCAGGTGGCAGATCTTTTAAACTTTTTACTAAATGACTAAAGAATTATGCATAACTTTTACCTGTAAAAATATTAGTGAGACAGTGAGAGATTAGAAGTTTCCTCTCAAAAAAAAAGAAAAAGTTTCCTCTCTTGTTGATACTATTAACCATATCAGAACATGACTTACTGTGTATTAAGATTTTCCAAATACTCTCCCCTAAGTATCTATTGTTGATACCTAAACTATCTTTAGAGATATTTGGAGTGTTCTCAGAAACTTTCTCTCAAGATGCTGTCATGAGCATCCTCAGGAATTGCTATGCCAAGTTTCTTTCTTTGACCACATCAGTTATTTCTTGCCAAGAAGGCTAGCCAATGGGAGTGGCATCAGCTTGGGAGGGCTAAGCACACGTGCTCCAGGTCAGGTCTAGGGTAAAGACACTGATATTTTTGAAAGATCTTTTAGTTCTGATTTTTTAAGACTTGTAGGAGTGTAACGGAAGTATTCTTTATTCAGGAACAAAATTGCAACCGTTTTTTAAAAAGGATGTGCATTGCATATGTATGGTGCTAAAATGATTGCAGTTTTGTTGTGCCTGCTTTCTGTTTGAAGCTCATGCGTGCTCTCTTGCTCGCTCGTTCTCTCTCAATTCTTCCCCAACCCCCCAGTGTTTTAATAAGGTGTGATGTAGGAAGGAGTGTTTTCTCTCTCACTTTAAGTTGCAGGCAAGGCTACCTGTAGATGGAAAAGGGCAGTCTGTTGTGAGCTATGAAGTCAGTGTTTCACTGAGAGTTTCTGGGTGTGTCAGTTTTCACTAGCTGTTGGTTTTGTTTACTTAAGGTTTCGAGAGCCTTTAAAAAAAAAAGGTAATAGTAACTCTTAGGAGGCCAATGTCAGTGATAATGAGAGTCCTGGTGAACTCTGATCCCTCATCTGATTTTACTGTCATGAAAACGTGTAATCAGTACTAGGTGCTTTTGATAATTGGGCAGATGATAGCTATAGTAATTGATGGAGGTAGTGATAATGATGAAGCTGAAAGAACTACTTAATTTTTTATACTTCATTGGAAGTTTAACAATCATACTCTTTTTCCCCATACATCAGTTAATAGGTATTTTGTTTTATAATATCAGTTGCACTTAATTAACCAGTTCTTATGTCTAACCCCTACTTATATATTGTATATTGTTTTCCCCCCCTCTTTTTATTTTTTTTTTTAAAATTTAAAAAAAAAACACAACACATGTGTGGGGGGAATCCAAGGGCGTAAGGGGTGGGAGCAGAAGGGTGAGGCTGGTTGGGATGAAATCACAGGGTTGCACAATCTGGTGGATTGTGGAGGGAGTAGGTAAAGGAAATGAGAAAGATCTGGCAGGGGCTAGAAAAGACAGGGTAATGGTGGGTATCATCCAGTGTTGATTAATTAAATTTTTTTTTTTACAAAGAGATTGTCTTTTTTATTGGGGGGGGTCCCATTTGGGATTTTGCAGACTCTTTGGCTGCTTCATGCTACACAGGGGTGTTGAGATGAAGGGGAAGGGTGGGCCCATTTTATTACTTTCCTGGTGGCCTTGATTTGAAGCTACATGCCTTCTTGTTCAGTTAGAAGAAATTTTCATGATGTTTTCTGTCCTCTGGATTGCAAGGTCTTTGCATGTGTGAGTCGAGTGGGAGTGTCTGGCTGAACTTTGAGGCTCCATCCATCTTTGTTTCCTTAGCTGGTAGTTATGTTTCCTTTTTGTGTTGGGAACCAGGCTCAGGCTTCAGGTTCTAGAACAAGAGTGAGTGTTCAGATTACCTATAGGAAAAGGAGCAAACCTAGAGAGAACAAACTTGTGAGTTACAAAGAATAGGGCTCTGGAGGTGTTACTTATAGGTGTACTGGAGGAGGAGATGGAAGAAAGTGGCTTAAAGTTTCTCATATACACCAGGGGGCTCTCCCCAGGGGCTGGGTGGCTCTCCCCTACCAGGTGGCTCCCCACCCCACCAAAGCTCTTCTGAGGTCCAGACTTTGTCCCTGACTGGGGACTACAGCCGAGGACTGCACTTTTAGCTGTAGCGCTGCCATCATTGCCCCCTTCCTCTCTGCTAAGTGGTCTCATTGTAACTTGAATTCTGTATTATTACTTTTCCCTTCCACAAATGGAGAAAAGGGGCTTCCAGAGTGGTAAACAGACCTGGTCAAGGTTGAAAAAGTAAAAAAGGCCGTAGAACAAGGACTCAAACCAAGGTTGTCTGAAGGTAGGCTGTGAGGTGGACAGCTCTGCATGAGGTTTAGACCATCTTTCGTCTTCCTCTGCAAGCATAATCCTGCTGAAGATCATTTTCAAAATGGCCAGAGGAGTACGGTCAGGCCACCGGACACCAGAGCTGGTCCTGCAGGGTGTTTCTGGCCGTGTATTGTCTTTAATGAACTACTTAACGTTTTTGTTTGTTTTAGAACTACTTTACTATTTAAGGTATTGTTTTTGTGAAGCCTCCTCGCCAAATCATGAGAAACTTGATCACCACCATGTTCCTTCATGTGTATTTTAAAGGATTTTGTTGTTGTTATGAGCCCTCATAACCACCCTATGAACACCGGCTCTGAATCTTGCCCTGGTGAGCCACCCTCATTATCTCTAACACACCTGTCCCCATTGCCACAGTCGCTGTGTCAAGCCATCCCATCCAGGGGCTTCCTCTCCTGCGCTGTCCCTCCACCCTTCCAAGCATGATGTCCTTCTCCAAGGACCAGTCTCTCCTGTCCATGTGCCTAAAGTATGTGAGACAGAGCTTGACCATCCTTGCTACCAGGGAGCTAGCTCTAGTTAGTATGTTTTTAATTTTTTTTAAATCTCACAAGAAAATTGAGTTTGATAACTTAAAACATTTGAGAATAAGCATGTTATCTGTTATTTGAGGTGGTGTGGTTACTGCTCACTGTTAACCAAAGTGTCAGTGGTTTGTACCTTTCAGGAGAAAGATGTAAGCAGTTTGTTTCTGTAAAGATTTATAGCATTGGAGACCCGATAGGGCAGTTTTAACCTGTCTTGTGGGCTTGCTGTGAGTTGGCATCTACTTGTCTGACCTTTTATTTTCTAGTTACATTAGTTCATTTGAGACTTCATTTCATTTGAATATTTTATCGAAATTTTTAATATTTTGAAAAATATGAAAGCTTTGACATTTTCCTTTTTTTTAACACTTTTTCTTAAATATGACTAGTATCTCCTCACAGATTTTATTGATCTTTTCATTTTTTATAGTGTTTTTATTTCTCTTAGGTTCTTGTTATTTTCTCTAATCCATTTCTTTATGGGCCCTTAATTCTTTTTGTTGTGCTGTAAGAGCCACACTATCCTTACCAGGTTTAGATTACAATTCTCTGTAGTTTCTTAAACTTAAGCACATTGAAGATTGTTAGGGTGTTTTGTGATTGGACAGAATTTTGTTCTATTGTACATGAGGTCACTTTGAGTCAAAATAGACTTACTGGCACCCTGACAAATAACAGTATTTTCTTCTGAAGATTATTTAAATTTTCACATTATTTTGGGCAAAATATATACATAGAATAGAGTGAAACGTGTCAGTTTATAATATACTTTTTATCATCCTTACTATGGTAAACTTTGTGATTTTCATTTAGAAATATTTACTTTTTAAAAAACAACCATAAAACTCAGTGTGAGTGTACAATTAAATGTATACCATTCTATAGCCATTAGCCCAACTCAGCCTTTTAAAACACACACACACAGACAACAAAAAAAACACCAACCAACCAACTCCTGTACCTGCTTGTATCTTTTCTAACACCAACTATCCAACCCACGGTTCTCACTGCTCTGCTATTTGGTCACCTGATGTGTTTCAATGGCTATTGTTACAATGGCCACATGAAAGTCAAAGAACCATATTCACTGTTAAGCGGTGAAGTTAACAGTTTGGAGATAAGAAACCACGCTTTTTTTCCCCTTGGAAATAAGAATAGCTTTTGGTTTTTATTTTTATTTATTTATTTATTTATTTATTTATTTAAGTATTTTTTAGACATAAGAATAGCTTTTTATGTGTGTGTAAAGACCATTTGACCTAAAGCCAGAGGCTTTGGGTCTCTATTACAACGTTCTCTTAGTCCTGCCAGTTGTGGTACCTTCTCACCAGCAAGCATGGGCAAAGGCCCCTGACTCTGTCTGAATGGGGCAGCAGTCCCAGGTCAACTCTGTCTCTGTCTTAGCACTCGCTAGTTGTCTGCTGTTGTATCCTCTAAGTCTCAGTCTTACTGGCACAGGAATCTCTGGTCCACATAAATGCATAGTGAATTCTCTGCTTCTTCTTTCTTGCTGGTTTTAAGACTTCTCTCATCTGCTCTAAACTTACTCTCTTATTCAGCCATGTGTCAGACGTCAAAGCCACTGGTCTGGGGAGGTCTGTTTTGAAGACTTAACGTTTTATCACAGTTTACTCTTTGCTTTTTCTAACCACTGGCTTTCAT